GGATCAATTCGCATATGCATCGATTATCGCAAGCTGAATGAAATCACGATTAAAGATGTATATCCCCTCCCCCGGATTGATGATTTGTTAGATGCGATTGGTTGCGCCAATTATTTTAGCAAGTTCGATATTCGGCATGGCTTCCATCACATTCTGGTGAAGGAGGAAGATCGGCCAAAGACAGCCCTTGTGTTGTTTGAAGGCACGTGGCAGTGGGTTCGATGTCCGATGGGGATTTGCAACGCGCCTGCCACGTTTCAGCGAGCAATGAACATGACATTCCAGAACTTCGTCAACAAGATGCGGCTAACACAGGGGATGATCAACTTCTGCGTGATCGTGTACATGAACAATATCCTTGTCTACTTGGAGACCTATCACGGGCACGCGCAACACATCGAGTGGACATTGGGAGCGCTGAGAGATGCTGGGTTCAAAATCGCGCTAAAGAGCGAATTTTTCCTTTCGGAAATTTCGTTCTTGGGCTACGTCGTGACACGTGGAGGACTGCGGCCCGACTCAAAAAAGGTCGCAACGGTAAGGGATGCCCCAGTTCCCACGTCACTGACGCAGGTTCGAGCCTTTTTAGGGTTGGCATCGTATTATCGCCGCTTCATCAAAGGTTTCGCTGCGATTGCACGACCACTAACAGACCTGCTACGGAAGGACCAGCCTCTCAGTTGGGACGCGGAGTGCCAACAGGCCTTCGCAACCCTCAAGGACGCTCTGGCGACGGCTCCTATTTCGATCCGACCGGACCCCTCTAAGCAGTTCATTCTCATCACGGACTGGTAACCGGAAGCTATCTCCGCTATTCTAGCTCAGAAGGGGAACGATGGTCGTGAACATATCATTGAGTACGCATCGCGAACGGTACCGGACGAGCGGAGGAATGACTCGGCGCCTCAAGGCGCCTCAAGGCGAATGCTATGCAGTAGTCTGGGGAATCCAACACTTCCATCCGTATCTCTACGGACAAAAGTTTTGCCTCGTAACAGATCACGAACCTTTGCTGGCGTTGAAGAAGCTCACTAATTACACAGGCATGATTGGCCGATGGGCGGTGCGACTATAAGAATACGACTTCGATATGGTTCATTAAAAGACAGAGCGACACGGCAACGTGGACGGACTGACACGTCTGCATCGGCTTGCTAAAGTACCAAAGGGCGAGGAAATTACACCGTGGAAGGAGCCGGACTTGACAAACGAGCCTAAGTACCGACAAGTGGTAGTTCTCCCACGTGGCAAGAAGCAGAACGGTGGCAATGGATGATGGAGGTAACTCCACTACCCCTCTTTCTCCCCTCTCCTCTTCGTCTCTCCTCTCCCTGCCTGATAAATTTTGCTATTTTTGCGAAGCTATTTCTCGCGTGTACTCGGTCTCCATGCGTCCTAACGGAGAAGGGTATGCGGAATGGATAGATTGTCGACATTGTATCGCACGAGCCCATGGCTCGTGCATCCAATAC